GCCAAGTGGAGCGCCGCCTCCGGGGCGGGGCCAGCCTGCGCTCGTATGAACGAGGACGGAGGATCGCTTAGCTGCGCACACGTTCCAATTAATACGTAGGATAATATTGCGCTTCAAGTGCGGACCCGACGTGACGGTCAGATTAGGACAAACTAGGACTGGGGCCGCCCCAGACCGCGTCTCTGGCCCCGGGCCACGCTCTCCCCCCCGCCTCCAGCCGGCCCCCCGTTCCCACCGCACGAAATGCACGGGCTTGAATAAGGAATTGGCTTTTGGGCTGGGATTATACTTAGAAATCCTGTTTGGGCCACTCCGTGACTTCCCTCCGCGCTCCCCCCCGGACATCTCCCACGAGAGACCCGCCCGGCCCAAAAGGCGGTTTGGCCGTGCCAGCCCCCCGGCCAACGCACTCGAATAATAGAACAGAATCGAGTATAACGGCTCGAACAAGGAACTGGTTTTTGGGCTGGGATTAGAGACGGAAGTCCTGGTTGGGCCGCCCCGCTTCATGGCACGGGGCGATTCTCCCAGGCATCCCCGACCAGAGCGCTGTCCGGCCCAACGCCCAGCCTGGCTCTGCCACGCTCTCAACTCAGAGCAACTCAGAGATGGGGGATCACGGCGGCCTCCCGTCCTGGATGCCCCCCAGACAGCCGGCAGGGACAGGGAGATGCGGGGCAGGGAGGGGCGGAGAGGAAGGACGGCCGGCAGACCCGAAGCGGCTGTGGGGCGAAGGAGGGGAGCGGGGTGAAGCGGTGGGAGGAAGGAGGAGACGGGCGTGGGGGTGCTCTGAGCTGACAGCGTGGCAGAGCCAAACCGCGCTTTGGGCCGGGCAAGTCTGTGGCCAGAGATGTCCAGGAGAGTCCCCCGGTGCCACAGACGTATTCTGCTGGGCGGCCCAAGCAGGATTTCTAGCCATAAGCCCAGCCTGAAGCCAGTTCCTTACTCGAGCCATTATACTTAGTGCAGGGGGCGTGGGGGCTGTGAGTTGGCAGCCTGGCATGGCCAAACCGTGCTTTGGGCCGGGCGGGACGGCGGGCGGGGTTCTTTGGGACGGTCCCCCAGTGGCATGGCCATGAAATCTGGGGTGGCCCAAGAAGTACTTTGCCCCATAAACCCTAATCCGACCTTCATTTAGGGCTCTGTACTTGACGTGGAATATTATTTTACATCTTAATTAGTACATATGCATAGCTAATGAAATTCTCTTTCTTTAGGATATGGAGTTCATTAATAAGCTTTTATTGGCTCTAGATCAGCTTTGAAAAAGGAACCAGGAATAAGGAACCGACTTCAGTCTCACTGGGGCCAAGCAAGCAGCTGGCACCCAAGTGGCACCGAGGACGCACCCAGGGACGCCAACTCGTTGCGGTGCCAGCGCTCAGCCCTTCCCCGGTGCCCGCCGGCTACACCTGCTCCTCCATGGTGGCCCGGTCGCTGGTGGACTTGGAGGGCGTCGAGGCGGTGGGCTCCAACTCCTGCAAGGCGCCGGCCAGGCGGGCACCCAGGGAGCACCGGAGCCCGCGGGCCAGCAGCACGTAGAGCAGGGGGTTGAGGCAGCTGTTGACGTAGGCCAGGCCCAGCACCAGCGGCTGAGCGGCGTGTGCCAGGCTGTATGGGGCCGCGCCGGGCACGTGCGTGGCCAGGACCAGTCCCACCACGTGGTAGGGCAGCCAGCACACGAAGAAGCCCACCACCACCGGCAGCACCACCCGGGTGGGCCGGCGCGACAGCCCCCACCGGCTGTCACGGAGCCGGGCGAGGAGCAGCCCGTAGCAGGTGCAGATCACGACAAAGGGCGCCAGGAAGCCGCAGGCGAAGCGCAGGGCGGCCGTGGCCACCTCGGTCGCGTGCTGGTGCCCGGGCATGGCGGCGTAGTCCAGCACGCACGTCACCTTGGGGGAGAAGACGTCCGTGCGCGTCTTGCGGAAGAAGAAGGACGGCGCGGTGAGGAGCAGCGACAGCAGCCAGGCCGCCCCCCACACGCCCCAGGCCCGACCGGCCGAGGGGCAGACGGGCAGGGTCACCAGGGCGCAGCGGTCGGCGCTGATGGCCGTGAGGACGAAGACGCTGGCGAACATGTTGAGGATGGTGAGGGACGGCAGGAGCTTGCAGGGGAAGCTGCCCAGCGCCCAGTGGTGGTCGCGGATGAGGGGCATGGCCAGGAAGGGCAGCGCCAGGCAGCACAGCAGGTCGGCCACGGCGAGGTTGAGGAACCAGACGGTGTTCACCGTGCGCTTCATCTCCACGCCCGTCACCCAGATGACGGCCCCGTTGCCCAGCACGCCCAGTATGAAGACCAGGGCATAGAAGGCCAGGGCCAGGCCGTGGAGCGGCGTGAGCGTGTAGGGCAGCATGTCCGAGCTGTCCCGGTCGGGCATCGTGAAGTTGTAGTCACCGGGGTAGTCATCGGGGTAGGTGTTGGGGTAGGGGTTGTCACCGCTGCTACCCGGAGGGAGGCTCATTCTCCACCGGCTCCGACCCTGGGGAGAGAAACCTGGCTTGCTTTGCCGTGCTGAAATGGGGCGCCACGCGCCAGCTCCTGTCTGCAGCTCGGAGACCCACGGAAACCCCCAGCGTGGCCGCTCCAGACCCCGGGCTGCCCCGAGTGCAGAATGCTGCGTGCACGAGGACAGCACCCGCTCGCTGCACAGTCCTTGCATTGAGCAAGCCGTGCCCTGACTCCAGGCCGCCTGCCGGAGGGGGCTGTGCCAGGGGCACGGTGCTGGTATAAGCCAGACACACGCTTCCCAAGTGCACCGTGCCCGGTGAGCACTCGAGTGCATGGGGAACTCGCCGGCCGCCACGCCGGGGCTGTGCGGTGTCCAGAGAGCACCGTGCACCACAGCCATGAGTGTGTGCCTGTGTCAGGACAAGAGCAGCATCTCCACCCCCACCCCACACACACACACACACATGCACACACGCGCAATCCCCTCATGTGCCCCTCCGGAGCTACCCAACAGACGACGAAAGCCGGGAGGAAACCGGCCTCTTGCTGCCTCTGGATCCAAGACCGGGCACGGGCTTCACTCCCAAAGAATGAGGAAGGGGGCGGCTCCTGCGCTCCTAAGCGTCCCCTGCGACACACCCGAGCAGCGATTATAAGAGCAGATTTTCAATTGCCTCGTGATGCATTTCCTCCCTGCCCGGCGTAACCTCTGCCCACACACACCCTCGCAACCCCAGTGCGGGGGCACCGAACCCAAGACACCTGCACGAGGGTTATTGCTGGGGCTGGAGGGAGGATGAAGCTGTTTCCCACCTGCCGCCCCGCGGGCAGCGCGCCAGGCTCCGGGCACACTCGCAATCCATCCGGGGCAAGAAGAAACAGGTGTAAAGTGCAGCGCGGAAGGTGCAGCCAGACGAATGCTAGCCCGGGCCCGTTTAGACAGCGTCAGGGGCCTGGATGCAACGTCCCTGCCCGCCCGGTTGCTCCTTGGCCCGGAAGGGTGACCAGGATCCCAAACCCCTTTGTCCTCCGCCGAGCCCAGCTGGGCCAGAAGTTGTGGTCGCAGTTGCATCAGGTCCTTGCGACAGCAGCTGGACACCAAGGAACTGGGGGGGGGTTCCCCTGCCCCAGCCCTGAGCGAGGGAAGCAGAAGCAGCGGGGGCGAGGGGAAGCTGGGAGTTCTGCAAAGCTGGCGGGGCGCAGTCCTGCAGCTGGGTGCCCGCACATGCCGACCGTCACGGGCAGGCTGGGAAGCTGCGTGCCAAGGTGCGGGCACCCTCGGGCCCCTTCCCTGGGGCTGGGGCACAGCTGGGCTGCCGCTGGCTGCTTGGTAGGGGAGAGGGCCAGCGTGTTGTCTGCGGGGGTCCATCCCCCACGTGGGGGTCGTCGGTGGGACCCACACCGAGCCTTCCCCTGGCCCAGTCTTAGCACTGCTTGCAAACTCGCCGCACGCAGGATCCGGGCACGGCCAGAGTGCAGCAGCCTGAAGGATCCCCCTGCCCAGCTTTGGACCGGGGCTCAAGCCGGGGCGCCCCATCCCTGCCCCTACCCGCTGTGGCCAGGGGTCTCCCAGCCCCCCGAGACCGCCCGGGGATGGATCCCCCTCCCCATGGCCCAGCAGGAGCATTGCTCTCCCACTGCAGCTCCTTGCACAACTCCGGCCTTGTGTCACTTCCAGCTCAGCACAGGGCAGACATCTCTCTGGTGTGGTGAAGCCGCCTCCACTTTGCTTAGGACAGCAAGAAATCTCCAGGAAACCGGCCTCCAAACATAAACAGCCGAAAGGGGAAGCTGGGGGGAGCCAGATCACACTGGGGGCTGTGGCAGGGTGCGAGGCCATGGTCAAATCCCTGAGCCCCGCGCACGTCTGACCCGGGGCTGCAGCTTCAGAGCAAGGCTGCCTGCCCTGGGAGGGGAGTCAGGGGGCCAGGAGGCAAGCAGGGGCCCCAATCCTGAGCTGAGCCCACGGGTACGTGGTGCTGGGGGCTGCCTGTTTGCATCGTCTGCAAGTGCCGGCAGCAGCGCCAGGTACCACGAGACTGCACGGCCACTGCCCCGGCCCCGGGTCCCCTTGCAGCATCCAAGTCTTTGCACTGATCCCGTGCATGCACCCATGCACCCCTGCCCCATGGGCACCACGGCCCTGCCTACCCCCAGCCCTCAGGGCTCAGTCACAGCCCCCCATATCAGGGCCACAGAAAGCACCGCACTGACCGAGGGCCAATGTGCTGCAACACCCAGGGTGGAAGAGCTGGACATCAGCGTCCGGCTGCGCACACGGTCAGGGGGAGACACTTGGTGGGTGTGAAACCCCCTTGGCTACAGAGCGCAGAAGGCACGAGGCTGACGCTGCCCACAGCGGCAGGGAGACGCGCCTGCGGGCCTAAGGTTAGAAATGACAGGAGGCAGGAGATGAGCAAAGGCGCTATTTGTGCCTGACTGTCACATGGCAGCCGCACAGGAAGGAGCTTGGAGCCGGGTATCTCAGCTATAAATCACTTCCCCGCTAAAGGGGGAACCTGTCAGCTAGTTCCCATCCCGTCCCCACCCTCCCTGCCGAGCCAAGGACAGCGCAGGCCGCTGGAGCGCTGCGTTTATTGGTAGTCGGACACACTGGCGGCGTGGCCGGAGCGTGGATGTGCCCACGAGGCAGCTGGATTGTCCCTTTGCAACAGGGGGACCGGGCGCCGGGTAGGAGCCGGGGCTGACCCTCGGGGAGCCGATCGAGGCTCCTATGAGGCAGGGTGCGTGGGCGCCCAGGTGCATGGGGCTGCAGAGCACGGGAGCAGCTGAGATGTCCCAGAAGCAGGTGGAAATGGGGGCACGGAGCTGCGAAGGGGTGAAGGGGGCACCGAGGCAGCAGGAGCAGGGGATGCGGATGAGAGTGTGCATATTCGGGCGTGCACATTTGGACACGGCATCGTTCAAGTCTGCAGCTGGGGACTGGATGGGGATGGGGGGGCGCCGCCGCGGCGCTTCGTGCCCCCAGCTCGTAGCGACAGAGGGACAGGGGCGCGAAGTCCGGCTGGAGGCAGGAGGGGGACATGTCCTGCTCGCCCAGCTCAGATGGTGGTGGTCGTGCTCTTGTCCATGGTGGACCTGGTCCGCGCCTTGCTGTCCCCGGTGCTGGGCAGGTCCTCGGTGAGCGCCTCGCGCAGCAGGCCCCGCAGCGAGCGCCGGAACTTGACCTTGAAGTCCTGGCCGACGAGGACGTAGATGACGGGGTTGATGCAGCTGTTGATGTAGGCGATGCCGACGATGAGCGGGTCGATCTGATGGATCCTGTGGAAGAGGGGATCGCTGGACAGCTTGGAAGCCATGATCAGGCCGGTCACGTGGTAGGGCAGCCAGCACACAAAGAAGCCCACCACCACCACCAGCACCACCTTCAGCGTCTTCCGCGAGCGCCCGAAGCGGCTTTTGTGGATGCGCATCAGGACCAGCCCGTAGCAGGAGCAGATCACGGCGAAGGGCATCAGGAAGCCGCAGGCGAAGCGCAGGGCGGCCGTGGCCACCTCGGTCGCGTGCTGGTGCCCGGACACGGAGGCGTAGTCCAGCACGCACATCACCTTGATGGCGAACACTTCACTTTTGGTTTTGCGGAAGATGAAGGACGGCACGGTGAGGAGCAGCGACAGCAGCCAGGCCGCCCCGCACACGGCCCAGGCCAGCCGCGCCGAGCGGTGGGTCTGGCACCAGATGGGGAGGGGTCGGCGCTGATGGCCGTGAGGACGAAGACGCTGGCGAACATGTTGAGGATGGTGAGGGACGGCAGGAGCTTGCAGGGGAAGCTGCCCAGCGCCCAGTGGTGGTCGCGGATGAGGGGCATGGCCAGGAAGGGCAGCGCCAGGCAGCACAGCAGGTCGGCCACGGCGAGGTTGAGGAACCAGACGGTGTTCACCGTGCGCTTCATCTCCACGCCCGTCACCCAGATGACGGCCCCGTTGCCCAGCACGCCCAGTATGAAGATCAGGGTGTAGAGGACCAGGGCCGCCGTGCCGATGGGGGTGAACACGTAACCCAGGGGGTCGACATTCGTCGTGGTGGGGTAGTAGTCGGTGTTGTTGACCTCCCCGCCTGGGTAGTCTGGGTAGCCTTCCATTGAGTAGTCCATTGTCTTTCCTGCAGGTAAAAGAGAAACACCCGCCCCGTCGTCTCCTCCTGCTTGGCTGGAATAGGGCCCTGGAGCCGCACCGTGAGACCCGCACCCCTGGCCCTGGGTCTCATGGGGCCGGGACAGGGCGGGTGGCAAAGCCCCTGGGCAGGTGGGACTTTGCAGGACTTTCCCATGCCGTACGGCTTCCACTGCAGGCCACAAGACCACCACGACCGGCTATAGGCCCCGCAGCCAGGACGCTGGGCATAGATTTCAGCCCCTTGCCCAACATGGCCCCTTGCCCAACCCCGCAGTTGCCTCAGAGCGAGGAAGTGCAATGAGGTAATCAGGGCAGGAAGGAAGAAGGGGCAGTTCTTGCCCCAAGGCGGGAGCACAGTGGGGCTGGGCAGGAGGGCTGGAGCGCAGGGGGCATGATCGGGACCTGTGCATTGGCTGTGGGGAGTGGGGCAGGGGCGGCCACGGCAGAGTCCAGTCATGGGGGTGGGCACAAGGATGGGACAGACCCAAGCTGGTCGCTGCTGGGAAGTGACTTAAGCTTTTGAACCGCAATGGAGAACAGCCCAGACCGGAAAGGAAGCCCCAAGGGCATGCTGGGTTTGGGCGCACACATGTGGGGGGCGTGTATGTGCATGGGCATGCATGTATTAGATGTCCATGTGTCTGTGTGTTGGTGTGCGCGCGCAGGTGCAAGCTGGTATTACGCGTCTATGTAGCAGTGTGTTGGTGCACGTGCATCTATTAGGCATCCATGTGTCAATGTGTGTGTCTGTGTGTCGGGGTGTGTGCACGCACGCATGTGCAAGCATGTATTATGCATCTATGTGGCAGTGCGTGTTGGTGTGTGTGTGCACATGCAAGCATGTATTAGGTGCCTGTGTCAGCCTGCGCCAGTGTGTGTGTGTCCCTGTGTGTTGGTGCATGTGCGCACATACAAGCATGTATCAGGTGCCTGCATGTCAGTGTGTGTCCGTGTGCCGGTGTGTGTGCATGCATGCATTAGGCATTTGTGTCGGTGCATGCATGTGCGTGTACCAGCATGCATGCAGCATGTGCACGCAGACAGGAGACCACGGCAGGCAGGCAGCTGTTCGGGCGGGAGAAGGGGGAGGTTGGCTGGGGCAGGGAAGCACCGGCACCAGTAGCAGCAGTAGCCCCAAGCCCCCTGCCCAGGCCCAGAACCGGGGGTGGAGGGATGAGGGTCACGGACAGGCACGGGGGAGGCTGTCGGGAGCCGGACGGGCAGCCCCACGGCACAGAGCAAGGGGGGATGTGAAAGCCGCACACAGCTGCTGGACCCCTGGCCCGGCTGAGCCCGCTGGGATCCCAGGGGGGTGCCCAGGGAAAGCCCCCTGCTCGTGCCAACTCACCGTGCCGGAGAGCCGGGGCAGCCTGCGCCGTGGGGATCGCCGAGTGATGCGTGAAGCCTCTGCCCAAGCTGAGGTTATATACTGCGGCGAAGAGGAAGCTGAGGGCTGGCTGCCCCGTGGGGCGGGGGGGGGTCCAGCTCTCCCATTCCTGCAGGGAGCCGGGGCTGGGGCCTGGCTCCATTCCCAGCTCTGCCACCTGCCTGGCCTCAGGCAGGTCCTGGCACTGCCCTGCACGCAGAGCTGGGTCATGCCAGGACGGGCTCTCCGGGGGGTGTCACACCCCAGGGTCTGGGGAGTCCTAGGCATCTGCATTGCTGCTGCCCCGCCAGGGCGTAGCAGCAGGTCCATGCCTGCCCCATGGGCGGGGGGGAAGCCCCCCAGCTCAGCTGAGCTGCAGCAGGGCCCAGGCAGCGATGGGCAGGTGCAGGGCAGACAGGCCCGGGCCTGCCCCACGCCCGGCTCTCCCCACAGCAGCGCCGGGTGAGCCCCACGGAGGGGCCCTGAGCTCGCAGGCGTGTCCCGGAGCACAGCAGGACTCCTGGGTCCCATCCCTGCTCGGGGAGGGCGCCCGGGACCCGCACCCTAGCTCCGGGCAGGGGGGAGCAGGCGGGAGGGAGCCAGGGCTCCTGGGTCCCAGCCCGGTGCGGGGATGACGCTCCCTTCCCTTCCGAGGTCTCGCAGCACCCCCTGCCGCCCACGCCGCTCTCCAGCACAGCACAGCACAGCACAGCCTGGGCCATTGGCGGGGTTGGACAACCCCACAGCCGGCAGCCCCTCGCCTTCAGTCCCCATCACCCCGCAAGGCTCCAGCGTGGGGAGGGCGTAGGCAAGGGGGAGCCGCAAGCCCCCTCCTCCTGCCCCCATTAACCTCTTCCCTCCACCCCCCTGCCCCGCACAGGCCAGGCAGTGACCGCAAGGGGTTTCAGTGAGGGCTCAGCCCAGGTCTCCTTCACCTCCCAGGTGCTGCGGGGGCCCGGGGTGGTCCGCACGCCAGGGCCAGGGGGGCCCCAGCTCCATCCCCACTGGGCAGCACCATCCTGCACCTCCGCGGTTGCTTGGGGACCCCTGTCCAGGGTGGCAAGGGGTCCTCATCCTGCCGCTGCCTGGGGTGTGAGGGGGGCAGAGCTGTGGGGCGACTCGGGCCCAGGGTCCCCAGGCAGGCTGGGGGCTGTTGCCAGCACCAGGGTGTTGAACCACCCAGACCAGCGCATAACAGAGGAGCAGGAGCAGCGCAGACACGGGAGGGAGGCGCAGCCTGCGTGGTGGTGGCGGGGGCGG